TCTGTTCGTTATTCACTTGGACACGGTATGAGCAAATGCAACCAAACTTTCCAGGAATCTTCGTCCCATCTAGGAGAAGGTCAACATCTATTTTTTTTCGAAAAGCGTTGGCCCTACACCTGCGAAAATCTCACCTTTGTAGCTGACCAATCAGATTGCAGTATTCAGTGCTACAGGACAACTATTGAATTACACTTCGTAATCGCACAGAAAATATGTAACCCTAGGTCTTCGAGGGCTGTGAGTTCGAATCTGCGGTCCATATGCCTCAAAAGCTGATTGGTTGTCCCTAAACCAATAGGATCTCGACTTCTAAGAAAATAGACGAAAATACTTATTTTTTCGGGAAAATGATGTAGTAAGGAGTTTTAGACGTGATAAATTGAAATCTGACGTCCGATCATCTCGATATCGTAATGATCAACTCAGGGCCAACAGTCATCAAATTTTGGATAAACGAATATCAGTGAATGACCGCTGGAAGGAGACTAGAAATCGGAATTCTGTCGATCATGATGCCTTACTGGACGACCCGTGAATTAATTAAGTGAAACATATAAAATATACATAGAGTTTTAGAAAAATTCCTTCTTTCGGGTCACCTACGATGTAAATTTCAAATAAATGGCATATTAGGTTCGAGAGTTTGTTCGTCAGATTTCGATGGTTCAGCTCTCAATATATCGTTTGCACAAAGATCTTTTCGTCTGTCCTTCTTTAGTACCAGTAAAAATTCAGTATCCTGTAAGCAGTAAAAAGCACGATATACTGTCTTAACTCTTCTAATCAATAAATGCTGTAAAATTGAAGCTTTAGATCAAGTAGACGTATATTTGTGTTTAGCTTTGATTGAAGCGAGTATTCCTCGCATGTTTGTGAGAAAAATTGATTGCCCAAGTCAGTTTCCTCTAAATATGGAATCAAACAACTACGAGATCAGAACAGAAGCCCTGACTAGGTGATACAAGAGCCGGTCGGAATCGGAGCCCATTAAGATAGGTATATGTTACGGGATGCGCTCAGAAATATAGAAAGTCGATAAAATTTATGAGATACAAATGTCTTCTTGACATACCCACACAAAGATGTGGAATTATTCACATGAGAGCAATCTTTCAATGTTGTTATTCTATATTCGTAGAGAGTGGGATTCGATGGAATCGAGATTCAGAATACGCCTAGCAGTTTAGATGAAGATTGGCACGGGGTAAAAATAGTAGTTGTGTGTGACTGCTTCCCCGAATTACGCTTTTTAGACCTTCCCAAGTATAACTGGATATTGTTTGCATGTATAAAGTGTGAGCTTATCCGGGTCAACGCCGGGTACCTCAGCTAGTGATTCATATTTGTCACACATTCATAAATGAAATAACGGAAGAAAAAAAAGAAACACTCGCACAAGGGGTGGGTGTGGGTGTGGGTGTTGATACGGGTGTAAATAATAGATATAAGGCCCACACCGATACCCACACCAACACCCACCCATACACACACCCACACCCACACCCACACCGACACCCACACCCACACCCACACTCGCTGTATTTGATGGGAAATATCCCATTGAATACAGCAGAGAACGCAAGAGAAAAATATTCTGGCTACGCCCCTGAAAAGAAAAAATAATAAAAAGAAATGCTAAAAGGAAGAAAAAGAAAACCCCTTGCTATTGCATCTTTCCAACATTGTTGGAAATTTCCAACTTACCATTGAATATTGCTCCGCTTTTTAATATGGCTAATAATTACTCTAACCAACATTTCTCTTATTGCCCATATAATGTCAACAGATAAAAAAAACGATGCAAGATGCTTACATGGATAATTCCTAGTTTTTTACTATATATAATCAGAGTCGAAAGCAATGCATACATACCATTCAGCCGAAAAGTTTCGTTCTGAGAAGAAGTTGCATAGACTGCCATTCAAAATCGAAGGTAAAAAATCATTTGAATATCCGCAGATTTTCTCCGATACCCTCATAGGCTGTTTCAAATGAGCTTGGACGGCCTTCAAAATCAACTTGATAACGTATTGCAAGAAGCGCAACAACATACGCATGATATTGAGCAATATGCTAAGAATCATGTTACAGATATCCCAGAAGATGTCGAGAGAGAGTTGAAGAAAAGACTCGAGAATTTCCGAAGCAGAATCAACGAGCAACTATCTGATGTCGAAAAATCCATTATGAAGCATGCACCGAAACCAAATGATTCTGATTATGAGTGTAACAAAGAACGTTATAAACAATTCTTAGCTGAGGCAACAAGTGCGATCAAGAAGATGGCAGAGATGTTGGGTAATCTATTGTCTAAATTAGGCGCCGCAATTCTCCAAATCGTTCAATGGATAATACAAAATCTACCGACAATAGTACCTGCTATTGTGACCTTATTCGAACACGTAATATTTCCGTTGATGAAAACTAAACGAAGTTAATAAAGGAAATTATCAATTGATGTTGAATATTATTTTTTAATATCATGATATACAACTCTAATTGTTTTTATACTCGAAACCTGTTGCTAGCGCTCGACGTTTCTATTTTAGATAAAGTACACAGCGTGTTTATTTGTACGCACAAATAGTCAGTGTCATCAATTACGAAAAATCTTACAATATTTGGTTTAAGGCTATGTCTGGAGCACAAGCTGGCGAAACTGTTGACAATACTATCTTTCACGACTCATTGAACTGTGGTTATGATTGCCAAATCTTGGTAAGTGTAAGAGGTCTGTTAACAATAGTCGAAGTTTGTGAATTATTCTAGCCATCAAATGAAAACGATCAAAATATGGGTAACGCTTGCACAGCACGAGTCTATTCTGACAATGGTGCAAGTGCAAATGGGATCTTAACTGTTACGGTGAGTATTTCTTTTTTGATCTGCAGATTAGTCAAGAGATGAATGCTTAATCGTTTTAATGAATGAGCTAGATTCTAGATGGAATGAAAAACAAGAGGTATTCATCTTAAACGTTTCTTTTTGAAGTCAAGAATGTTCAATTTGATACACTTTATAAAATGAACACTTAGCATAATTATTCTTTTATTCTCAAATACGAGATCGATGTCAATTAAATATTGCCCGACCCAAGTGTGTAGCAAGTCAGATACACTTTTGTCAAAACGTTTTTGAAGGCTTGATGAAACAGACTTTCGTTTTCCTTGGAAATGTATGACGTCACACCATGTCTACAGATACACATATTGGATCAGATCAGATTCAGTTGAAATTACTTTTATTTTAGGAAACGATAACGACAGTTAAAACTGACATCGCAAATCGGTTGCCAACTTTGGTGCTCAAGCTTAAAGAATGCGCAGACTCACTCCAGAAGAAAACTGATGATGAACTCGTTGCTGAACGAGAAGAAGAAGTGAAAACGCAAATAAATCTAATACGACAACAATTCTTAGGGTATATCTAAACAATATTTTTTATTTCAAAAGAATTTCTGGAGATCAAATAAACTCAAGATCTCCATAATTCCTGTCACTGTCTCAAACTGAGCTGATGGAGAATTTGAATTTAAGGAAAATTCAAAACTTTACACCGCTATACCCCTATAGAGGTATAAGCATAGCGGTATAGCGGTATAAGTACAGAGGTATAGACTAATTGCAGATGAACATAAGAATGACTTCCCCTTAAGGGTACCCCTCCATGTTATCCATCTCCCCCACACTACTGTATACCCTTCAAGGGTACCCATCTCCCCCACACTACTGTGTACCACTTCAGGGTACCCATATCACCCTCTTGATATGACCCCTTCAAGGGTACCCATCTCACCCACACTAACCCCCTTCTCATTTTTCGTTTATCGTCATGCCCTACTCTATATAATGATTTTTGCACAAATTGACTTTGTTTTAAAGAAATTGAATTTTCCGCAAATTCAAATTCCCCATCATATGCTCAAAGTTGAGGTTGGTTCCTCATAACGGAAACCATTGTTTGAGATTGAGCGCGAATAAAGCACAGTTCTCGTTAAATAAGCTGGAAGTATTATCACTTTTTTGATAGATTCTGAAAATTTTCTTTTGTGTGTAATTATTGGAAGTTGAACAGAAAGGCTGTATACGACTTTCAAAAAAGCACTAAAATTTTTTTTTTAGTTACTTGGATAAAATAGAACAGCAAGTTCTAAGCGCTCGACCATTGCCCAATACTTCAGATTATGAAGAAAAACGACAAGCTTACTGTAATATGGTAAAACTTATAATAGAATTGATTAAAAAACTACAAGATACATGTGATAACATATTTTCTCAATATTTTGAATTTTTCAATCAACTATGGGAATGTATCAAACTGGGTAAAAATTCAAAAAAGATGATTAAAGAATTTACTGTCAAGATCGAAAACGAAACGAACCAAAAATGGAAGCCATTTTTTAACACTCTAGATGACTTGGTAAAAGAAATCAATAATCCAACCCCCGACAATTTGCAGCAAAATGGCCAAAGCATTCCAAGCAAAGCTTCTGGTTGGAATCCATTCTGGTAAAGAATAATTTCAAAAAATACCACTATGACTCAATTTTAATAAGTCTGGCATTTGTAACTTGATTTGTGAAAAACTATGTCACTAACGTCATTCTCTTCTCTATTTTTTTGAAATTGAAAAAAATAAAAATATGCATCTACATGAGCTTTCTCTGTCATTCATCAAGTTGTCAGTATTTCACCTTATATATATGCCATTTCGATTTTGCTTATAGATCGTTTTTATAACGTAATATCATTATACAATGTCAATTCATTATGGTATGTGATGCGACGACTGATTTCAGAACGGAAACAAATCTAGTCCTAAACTTGCAAATTATGTAACTTAGGAGGCATTGCACGTAAACCACGACCAACGTTGCTCAGTCCATCTCACGGACTTGGCTGATATTTTTACATTAGGTAGGTCTAAGAGTCTTAGAAAGAAACTGAAAATTTCAGCTCAAACGGATGAGCTGTTTTGAAGATATAGACGATACAAGTATGACAGGGTGGGTCCCATTTGGAGTACTTTATAGTGCAATACTTTCCAGTAAATCTCTATTATTTCGAGAAGAACAAGAGATATCACTGAGANAGGAAACAAAATGGAAAATATATTGCAGAGAGTTCGTGCAAGTAAGAAAGAAAAAAAAAAGGAAGAGAGGGGGGGGGGGGGGGGGGGGGGGGGGCGCGATGCCCTCCACCTCCTCCTCCCCCTTAAGATGAGAAATCTAAATTGAGCAAAGACTTCTGTCATCAACATAATACATTCTTAATAGTTTCTATGACGAGTAGAAATTTTATATATTCTAAGATTTTCGTTATCAGTGCATGAATATTTTCAGAGAAATCTTAAATTTTTGGCTAAAACTTCGTATTCTAACATTATTAAAAGATGCGCCATCGTATTCTACCTAAGAGAGATGCACACATACAATTACAAATTAATTAATGAGCATATGTATTGCAATACTCATTTAAATAAATCCCTGGAAAACCTATAATTCAAAAATTCATGGTTTTTCGAGCACATACATATGGGGATAGCATTACATAGGGAAGAGCTGATGCAAACTATATTTGTATTTGCGCATCTATTTTGTTCGAATGAATTAATAATTGAAAATACGCTCATTTTAAAATTTACATGACAAGTCATCTATAAATTTATTAATAAAAATCATGTATAAAAGATAAGTTAATAGGAATTCTGAGTCAGAGTACACTAACTGAATATAATCTATATAATCATGAAATAACACATTATCTCGTTCAACTAGAGTAAATTCTATATAAATACTAAAATTTGTTTTTAAAACAAAATTATTATTTTGTTTACCTCAATCCATTTAATATTATTTTCAAATAATTTTATTCAACCTATAGAAAAAGATAGATTCACAGAAAAAAATTTCTTGTTTTGTTGAATTCTGATCAATAAACATATTTTACGACAGATTTCTCCTTTTTCTGATTGAAAAATCATTATTATATCGAGATTCCTATACAGAATTCTGAAACTATTATCATTCTCTAAATCGGAATCATTCTTATTTCTGTAGAAAATTCCTAACGAAACAAGAGAAACTTTTCGACAGCAATGACGATTTCTTTTCTTTTCGTTTTTTTCTAGTGATTCCCAATATTCCAATTGATGCTCGTTGGAAACAAGATGGAGTTACTGTTGCTGGAGGTCATGGAGAAGGCAATGCCACCAACCAACTCCGCTACCCTTACAGTTTCTTTCTTGATGATGATCAAACGATAGTCATGACTGACATCCTGAATAATCGTATCATGCAATGGAAGATGGGTGACACGAATGGACAAGTTTTAGTTGGTAGAAAAGGTCAAGGAAATCGATTGGATCAATTGTACGCTCCAACTGATGTTTTAATCGATAAAGAGACGGATAATTTCATTATTTGTGATCAAGGTAATCGGCGAGTTATACGATGGTCTCGTCGTAGTGGCACAACTCAAGGAGAAATCCTCATCAACAGTATCGCTTGTTGGGGATTGTTCATGGATGATCAGAGATATCTCTACATCTCTGACATCGATAAACATGAAGTAAGACGTTATAAAATAGGAGACACGAATGAAACTCTCGTTGCTGGTGGCAATGGCAAAGGTGATGGTCTCAATCAACTCAACTTTCCGTGGTACATCTTCGTCGATCAACAACAGTCTGTCTACGTATCAGATGGAGACAATCATCGTGTAATGAAATGGAATAAAGGTGCAAAAGAAGGAATTGTTGTTGCTGGAGGTCAAGGTCTTGGGGACTATATGACACAATTGTCGTATCCTCGAGGACTCTTCGTCGATACATTGGGTACCATCCATGTGGCAGACTCGAATAATGGTCGAGTGATGCGTTGGCCTAAAGATGCGACACAAGGTACTATCATTGTGGGTGGAAATGGTAATGGAGCAGGAGCAAATCAGTTATATGGTCCTATCGATTTGTCCTTCGATCGACATGGCAATCTCTATGTTGTCGATTTTTACAATCATCGTGCTCAACGTTTTGATATCGAATAAACTCATTGCGAGTGAAACTTGTTTTCTGTCGTTTCGAAATAAATTCACGTCGAGTAATTGAAACGAGCTTTTTTCTCTTTCCTGTTCTATTCACGTGCGCGCGACCAGGAATCATCCTGGTGGGTGCCGTAGCGAGCGTAATGCTCGTACACGCGTGGGAAGACTCACGTCGTCCACATGCACCCACACGGTAACATGTGTCAGTGAGCCTAGAAGACCAATCGTGTTGCTACGGACGCCAGAACAGTTTCTGCCCGGCTTTTAGGGACTGCCCGAAAGTCCTTCATATAAAGTAACCTTAATGTCAGCGGACAGAACTCACCCATCCTTTTACTAACACTAATTTGTCTTAGTCTCCCCTATCCTCATACTCAAAAGAAAAAAAATAATTACACACTGTTTAACGACAGACGATGATGACTGAAAGAGAAAGAAAAAAAAACACATGTTCAAAAAATTATAATAATGTAAAAGAAAAAACAAGAAAAAATAATAAATGATGCCTACAGTTTATATTATTGTATTGTTTGTTGTTGAATTGCTTGGTGTCATTCTAAAACAGAAAAAAAAGAACTATTAGATGATTCAAGTAAATGAGTGATTTTATATTGAAGTATGATTCATTTATATACTTGAAAAAGATATTTTCTGTTTTTCCTCTGTTCTGACTATGGTAATGGAAAGAAGATGTTAATTAAGCTTTAATCTACATATCCATGTACACTGAGATAAATTCAATTACCAATATCTCAATGTATATGTGTGGGTAAAGCTTAATTGGTTCACAAATTAATTAGTCATTATCAACGACAATGTGAACAATATATCAAGGACGAGAACAAGAAAAAAGAAAAAGAATAGGAAGAAAACAATATTGTTGCTCACACATAGTCAGTTATGAGTACAAAATGTGAGGAGACATGTCGAAATAGATTTTTCATTCGTTCTTTCTAACACTGACACTTTATCCAGCAGCTACCGGGACTTATTTTTTGGGGATTTCTTGAGATTTCTTAATAAGTCCCTGATCAGACTGGGATAGATTTCCATAGAGTTCCTGCTTGAATTCATTGTGTAGGCAAGGGTACAAATGCGGGTGTGGGTGAGGATGTAAAATACATTGGCGTTAGTGTGGGTGTCGGTATGCTGAATTAGAACTATGTGTAATAAATCAGCTACAAATAAATAAATCCCCTAGAAAGAATAAATTCCGAAAAAATAAGCACCGGTATCCCCTCACTTTATCTGCATCTTTTTTTTCTAAAGGTTAAAATGAGGATTCTTTCGTAGTTATTGCTCATTTCTCAAATCATATACATATGAAAGGGTGTGGGTGTGAGCGTGGGTGTTGTTCCTTTCTTAATGCACACACACACCCACACCCACACCCACACCCATACCCACACCCACACCCACACCCCCACCCCCACCCCCACCCACCCCCACCCCCACACCCCCCCCCACACCCCCACCCCCCCCCCCACCC